CTTCCCTGTTTGTCCCACAACTGTACTACATCAAGAAACTCTACCCCTACTGTATTAAATGAAACAGCACCAACATATTTTCCCAGAGCAGGATATCATGGAGTAATGAATAATTCCTGAATTTCTGAGAGATGTAAGTACCATCTCTTACTGACCTCATCAGAAGCAAGAGTGGGTTAATAAGCACACAAGGAAAATATTCAAGTATGTTCCATTTCCTGCCCAAGTGTCAGTGTATGAAAATAGATTTATTTTTTTTCAACCTGAAGTGAATGGATTAATGTTAACAAGAAACACTGTCAAAAGGTCATTCTAGTGAGGCAAGCAATCAGGGGCACCAGGTAAGGAAGGAATGTTGGAATGAAGGACAGATATGTCATCTCAGCACAGACCATCTAGGAACATAGCATCTGTGTTATTGCTAAAATGATTACGTGACATCTCTGTCATCTATTCTAGAAACCTGGATTCTCCTACTGACTTTCTCAACCAAGGTAGTAAGCATTGCCTCTCCATAATGACAGAACTGTCCTAGGTGAAACAATCAAGATAGTAACTTACAAACCATCATCCACAACACAACCATAGATCAGTGTTGCTACTTGCATAAAACTGGAAACCATCTCAAACATGCTCCAAGAGCAGTAAAATACTCCCTGACCTTCAGACACCACCCTATTAGCTCTGGGAAAAACACTTGCATGTCTTATCTCCTTAATCTAAAAGAAAGACTTTTCTGCAGCAAAAATATACCGCGAGATGGAATTTTCAGGGAATCCCTTACAAATTACATCTTAAGCAGGAAAACATTTTCTGAAAAGTATCTTTCAAGAACCTCTTTTCAGACACTTGGGCTGAAATGGAGCAACTGGAGCTAGATATTTGACAAGAGATTTGAAGGTGGCTATTTCATATCTCCACAGTAATATTCGCACCACAGTAAACACTATTCCCAACAAAGCCATCCAAATACCATGTTCCTACTGCTAAATAAGCTAATATAAATTTCTATGGAAATCTATGTGGTCTTAATGGTACCAGTCTACTAAATGCTCTCATGAAAACACACATGACTACACACTAAAATGTACTTCACAAGCATTTGCTAATGGACAGGAACAGACAGTGGGGTAGCATCTCTCAAAAAACAACCACTCCACCCCTTACTTCTTGTTCCTGACCTACAAATACATCTTCAAAAGATGTGCATCCTCCGTAGCATGTGAGTACAGCCTATATTTTCTCCAGATTATCTCATTTGATCTCTAAAGAAAGTCAGAGAAACTCAGCTGGTATTTAGCTTTGAAGTCTCTTGCCTCTATTTCACACTTGAAGAAATTTCATGCCCAGAAGTTCTTCTACATTTTCCTATTTATACAATAAAAAAGTCACATCTATCTACAAATTATCTCCTAATTATGTCTGAAGAGCAGCACAGCTGTAACCCTGAGGGAAAGATGCCTTACCCCTCAAGCCAGTAGGCTACCAGGTCAGAAAGCTGATGTTGATAGTTTTATTTTCCCATAAAACAAACTGAGAGGAACCAATAATAACAGAAAAATACTTGCAGTGTCAGCTTAATTTCTTGCCAAGAGTATTTTTGTTCTATTTTTGTAAATTATTCCGTAATTCCTCAATTTCTAGAATTTTCAATTTTAGACTATCTCCTCTGATTCCTTCTGTTTAAATACACTACAATATTTTTTTCATCTCCCTACGAATGAGTATGTTCCTTGGCACTTTATGTATACAGATATTTAAACTACAAACATTTTTTTCTACTTGTTCATGGTATGTTTGGCTCTCACTAATAAAAATTCAAAATATCTACTTGGTATTGAAAATACCAGCACAAATAGAAAGCTGTCTTCGTGTTAGCATAGCTGCTTTTGTAACCATCCTGGTTTGCTGTCAGTCGTTATCAACAACTTGCCTAACAAGTATTAAATGGTGTCAAATCCATATATTATTGAAAGCAGATATACTCAGTGCAAAAATTTCAGATTGATGTGCAAAAATGTATTTCACATATTTTATTGTTCAGCAATGCACATTACACATACAAACATGCAGTCATTTGTTGGTCTGTATTGTTAAACACCTGTTTGTATTATCTGTAACAGTACTGGAAGAAGTATGTCTTTGAAGTTGTCTGTAGGGGAATGAAAGTCTAATTTGTAGCTGTCATTTCTTCTTCAATAGACCTATTACTGAAGTGCAATTAATCTTTTTTTGCAGCCAGAAAGGGTTTTCCCATTCTACACGTAACCCATTACATGTAGGAAAAATGATGCCCTTCGTTGCATTCCAGGAACCTAGTGAATTTCCTGGGGTTTCCACAGTGTTCCTGGCACTTGTTTCTGCTATACTTAATTCCACTGGGAAACTTCAGGGGTTCCTCCTTGCTTCCTTTCCTACACATTTTGGATTGTGAAACAGGCTGTGTGGTAGAAGAAAAGGTAACTACATAATCTACCACTTCTCTTTTAGGCCATGTGAGCTGTTAGATTTTAGAAGAGAAACCCTTCCTTTCATACTGGTCAGTGCTGTTACCAGACTGCAACTGGACTTTGACAGAGTAAATACCCCTAGAATTTATGGGCCCTGGTGGTATGGTGTCTAGCAGCAGGAACATCTCCAGCCAGCAATTTTAAGGCAACTTCCAAGATGGATAATGTTGTTCGTATGCCACTCACTGTATTGTGAAGTTGCTGACCCACAGATTTGTGTTTGAAAGTGTATGATGTCAAACCTATGTGTTCAGTTTTTGTTCTGCTTACCAACCTGATGTGAAGTTTATGACACCATTTTTTAACAGTTACTATGTCTTAGAGAAGTAACTCGAACCAAATTTTGCCATAAGAGTACTCAGGTCACAGAGTGCTGCCAGCACACAGCCAAAGGATATCTAATATGACTAACTGGTAAACTTCTATTTTAATAAAGGTATAATATATCCTGGATAAATAAAACAGGTGTTCTCCAAAACTAATGGTACAGTTAATAAACTTTAAGAAACAGGAGGAGGCTCTCATTGACTCTGTTCCTCCAGGAAAAGAGGAAGCTGTCAGTAGTCTCTCCCATTTCTGCCGTTGCCCCAAGATGAAAGCTAGACAGCATATAATTTTTGCACTATTAATGGTAAAAGATAGATAGGTCTTTGGTGGAGGAACTGAGGAAAAGTGATACCTGTAGCACAGATAAAGGTGATTAATGCAGTGATAAACCTGCACTCATTTCTCTGCGCCAAGATGCTTATTGTTTTGAGAACAGTAGCTTGTCAGAAAACAAACATAGGAATTCACACATACAAAATGTAAAGGCTGTCCCTCATTCTCACAGTTTTCTAGACAGTTTATAATAGCCAGATTTTCATTTCCTCAAGGAAAACATTAGCTCACTGCCAGGTTAATGGCAAACAGCAAGTCACATAGATAGTAGATAGTAGATAGTAGAATATAACATTCATGTCTTACTATTTCATATATAAACTTTTACTTTAAAGAGTTATCTAAAATAATGTACATTGTTACCAGACCAAATAGTCCATATAAACTATGCTGAAAATATCATCTTTATTTACAGGAACCTAATTAAAATTACCTTCATTTGTGCTTGAGATCTGCAACAACCTCCTCCCTCAGAGCCATACCCCAGCCCAGATTTAGTCTGCTGGGCAGAGCTCTAAGGAGAAAGATGCCCCTCACATACATGAAGAAAGCAGTGACCAAAGATGTGGCTCACCTGCTTCTGGAAGAGGTGGGAAGCAACTTGCAAACTATGACTCTCTGATCAGCTGTGTTGTCTTGTTACCTATCCCACCCTTCAGGCTTTACAAATTACCTGCTACCCTTTGTTCAAGTGAAGTCTAAATTTGCCTGTGGTGGTGTTCTGCCAATACATTGTGAAATTTAGCAAAAAAAAAAAAGCTTAGGAAAAGACACAAACCAAAGAGCTTAGACATCTTTTCATTCTGTTTGAGCTTCTACATATACATATTATCATCTTCTAGTACTGCTGGTAATCACAACTACAAGAAGTAAGCAAAGAGAAAATCAGAAATATATGATGTCATTTTATAGACACTTCTATAACCATGTAATTTGCTGCATAGTTAATTTACTGAATTCCCGTATCTGCTTTATAGAAAAACAACCAGTGTGGGTTGTATAAAAATGCTACCTTTGAGACCCAAGAAATCCCACACTGCTGTACCAAGATGAATTAAATTCCAGAGGCATCATTCCTTGCAAACAGAGCTGTATGCACTCAGAAACAGCTTACACAGAGCCCTATATTAGCACTATTAGCACTTGTTCTTTTGAGATTTAATTGAAATACTCTGCTTCAAAAGAAACTGCTAATCAGATAATCACATTATACTGTATCTCATAGGCCTTGAGCAGCCAAGCTCCCAGAAAAATCATTGAATAAGACAACAGGACTACAGCCTTAATGATTACACGTTGTATTTATCACAAAGCATGACCAACATTCACACCGAGGTTGCAGGTTTATTACGTGGTTACCTGTGCTCTATAAAATAGAGATGTCATGTTGAACAGATTATAAAATGGTGCTGCAATATTAGATAGTTAGTATGTTATTTTTATTATTATACATCATTACCTATGACCAAAACAGTAGTACTTCAGTGTAAACACTGCAAAACATATACATGATTTAACAGATTAAATATCGACAGGTTCAAACATTTTGGATCTGTTATCTATCCACAAGATCTAGAAATAAGGCATATGGTCAGCAGGTTAGGAGAGTTTAAATAAACAGCCTGAGCACTTTGCTTTCCTCCCATACACCTTAACTCTGCCAGTTATGCTGCTGGATTCCTCATAGCAAATCTCATGTCTTGAGGAGGTCATACCTGAGGAAGGCTGTTAGCTGACTGAAACAAATCATTCTTTTTTTTTTTCACTTTTCTGTGTACAAAGGAAACAAACAGTGAATAGCTAAAGGACTTAGTCTTTTTTAAAATCCTGACAGGTTTTTCTGCTAGGAAGATAACTGTGTGGCCTGAGAGGTTTCATTTGTTCACGCTCACATATTTAGACACAACTGACACTTTATTCCACTCAGAGGATCTTGACATAAAATTGCAGAACTGATCATATATCTGTGATAGAAGCTTGACAGTTTTCCCACACAGCCCTGTCAAAACTTCCCATCAGTATCTGTAAACAGAATTAGCAGGGTGGCCACTTAGCAACCAAATGCTTTTGCTTTTGCAATCTTACGACGTGGCGCCGTCTCCTTTTCGGCTGAGTGCACTCCTGTCCATACGGTGGCCACTGAAAATCTTGGGGTGGCATTTTGCTGCTCTGACTCTCCACTTCTTCAGAATCAGAGTCATCTTGTTGCATTGAAGGAAAATGCCTATCTGGATAAATCTCCTTAAGTTTGTCCTCAAAGAATATATGTAGGCATCGTCCAGCCTCAGCAACCTCTGAATCTGGCTGTAAGAGAATAAATAACCATTCAGTGTTACCACACACAGAAATCATAAAGGATTAAAACCAAATAACTAACCTACCCCAATGTCTCGCCTTGGTTCTGTCTGCTACATCTCCATTAGTAAACCACACAGTTTCTACAGCCCATTAGTCCCACTGCATTTCCAGTGTAAGTAAAAAACAGATGCTGCTGTTAAGGAACACATTTCTGCACCTCTGAGAAAGAGACGTGCAGTGAACCAGAAATAACAGCAGTCATCACTGCTTAGGAATTTCTATGCATTTGATTTTCCCTAGCTATTTTGCTGGCTGTGACTGGCTTCTCACAGCAAACTCAGCAATATTCCAAAGAGCTGTTGGCTAAAATGTCCCTCCTTAATTTTAGATCTATGTGTATCTCAAGTTCTCAGATACCTATATAACTTCATTTCTGTCATTAAAAAAAAAAGCAAAGCCAAAACCCCCACAATTTCCAAATGATAAAACTGGTTAATACTTCAGCTTATCCCAATCCTATATCTGATTTCCATGAAACCAATAGCTAAACCAGTGTCCCCCCCACCCATGCATATTTGAAACCTACATAATTGAACTTTGCACAGTTCCAAAACATGAGACGCACGTCAGTCACAAGTTCCTCAGGTGCAGAATAGTGGGACTTGTCCTTTTTTTGCAGTTTGTTTCGTATGGTTGACAAATCCATTGGCCTTTTGATGATCTGATAATAATGACGAGCCTACGATGAGAATAAAATGCAGGTATGCAACATTTTTAATTGAAACATTTCCTCTCCAGTGACTTCTATCCAAGTTTGGACAGAAGTCACTGCAGAGGAATTCTTGCATCAGGGAAGAGAGCTCTAGTCTTTTAGTGCCTACACTTGCACATAATCTTCCTGAGTGTTTTTTTGTTTGATTGCAAACATATTTGTTTGCAAGACTGATCCTGAAAATAGCACACATCAGTGACTACTCTGCTATTTGCACTTCGTAAAATTTATTCCCAGATATAAATGTCGCTGTTTAACCACAATCAAAAATAGATGTAACATCGACAATTAGCTAATATTTCCTCCAAGCAATTATAAAAAGAATGTGCTGAGATACTGGCAGCTGATAGTGTGGGAAGTAGTCTGCCAAGAGTGACTTAAAACATGCTACTATGCACTCTTTGAAAAGCTCAACAAAAGTCTTTTCCAATAGGCATCAGCTACCAGGATATCCCATTCCTTAAATCTTTCTGGGTCTAAATCTGCTTTTTGGGTCATTGCAAGGATCATTAGGTGAAATTGTTTTCATATAGTTATTTGGACTATTCCCTCACATAGAACCTTTATTTTACCCTCCTCCAACTTGCTTCACATTGTGTTTTATTGTTACAATAGTGTGACTCTCCAGCTTCCTTTAAAAAGCCAGATATTATTGCAAATGTGTATGGATGAAACAGTAGTCTCTACCTCTTCCCCTACACAGGGTCACATTACTCTCTTTGTGCACAGCACCAGGAAAGAGGGAGTCCAGGGTTATTCCTAAAGCAGACCTCTCTTACAACAGTGCAACATTTTCCATGTATGTGGCAAGTCAGTCATTTTAATCACTGGAATCCCTCATATACCTTTAGTATTCTACCAGCATCTTATATAGGCACCCAAACCTGGTCTGAACTTTGGCCAGCATTTACCTGCCTCCAAACTGACACCTTCAATACACTTGCAAAAGGGAAACACTCACCCTTCCCTAGGAAGCAATACTGTTCAGAAAAAAACTCATTAATATCTTTTAAGAAGACAAAGGAGAAACTCATGAGGTGTGCCAGAGAATTTTTTGGGTTCCATCTGACCAAAGTCTCATCCTTAACTAGTATTACAATAGCAGCCAATCTGAAGCCCATTGTACTAGATGTTCTTCAAGAGAGTTGAGATTTGAATCCAGCAGTACTTACCAGGGGACTGACAGGTTCATGGAATGGGAGGCTCATGCTACTGCAGAACAGGGAAAGCACCAGCTTTTCACACTTCTGTAGAAGCCAGATTTGAAATACATTTTAATTCAAAACAAGTGAGTTTTGTTCTTGCCTTTAGTTAATCAATCATACTAACAACAAGAGAATTCACATGTAGACTGTGCATTTCTGATGTGAAATGGCATGCTTCACTCTTAACCCGGAGGACCAGCAGCAACAGTGTGGAAACTGTAAAGTGGGGAATGTTTCACATTGTTCATATCCATTCATACAAATGGATGTAAGTTATGTAGTTGGTAGTACTGTACGAAAACTCTTCCATTTAATTATTGTTAACTTGCAAAATATTTGTACTAGTCTTTGGCGTTTTCACCAGTGCAAAAAAATTGCACTACAAAAACATTATAAGACATATTTGCTCACAAACAATGGAATTTTTAATCAACTCAATTTTCTAAGTAGGACTTCACTATTAAAGACCCAGATCCCAACTATTTCTGTTCAGTCATACCAAATCCAGAAGAAACAGGGATCACATCGTGTAAAAAACTTATGTCCAGCTCTGTATGGACAGAGTATCTCAGGTCTGGAAACAGCATTGATGAATTGAGCAGTGCTGTGACTGTGCTCATAGGCCTTGCCAAGGGGCCCCAGTGCTCAGAGAACCATTGCTGTTGTCTTTATGAATGGTGCCCAGATTAGATCAATGCCTTATTGTCAGCTGTGTTTGTGCAGGGCCAGCTCAGCATCTGTACCTAGCTGTGTGGACTTACCCTCCCTGTCCAGCTGTCACCAATATACACAGGACATGTATTCGGAATTTGTACCTTCCAAGTACCAAGTGGACTTTCAGAAAAGGCACTTTTTTTCATGGAAGAGTTGGTAGAAGAAACTGGTAATGGGTGTGTAAAGTGATAAACTATTATCTAGGCTGAGTGTTTAGCCTAAATGTCATCTTCAAGGGAACTAATGGTACATAAGAAGACTGTATGATTATTTCAATCCAGTTGAAAGTCAAAAAGTGTCTACATCACAAAAATATTGCACTGGCCCAAGTAGATGTCTGAGAAGGTGCCAAGTTTTAAAGAAAAAAGATTCAGTGTCAGAAAGCTTGCTCTGCTGCTGAGTGTGACTTCCTTGTTCAAAGGGGAAAGGAATTTGTGATCTGCCTGTTTCATCTTTCTGTAACATGACATTCATTTTAAAATTGAACAGCAATGTCTAGAAAGAAGAGAATGATAGAACAGTAATAATGCTTTTGTTCTATTTACTACTGTCTGTAACATCTGAGTAGCAACCATGCCAAAACTGTCATCTTTCCAATGAAGAGGCAAAGCTTCATGCTGAGATTACACAGCCTTTTCTAAATAGTAAAATACACAGTTGTTCCCACCTTCTGGTCATAGTTGTCAAGGCCATATTGTGCACTATAGTTGTGGCTGTAGCGTGTGTTTTCACAGTCATATTCTACCTCTGGCTTCACTGGATTACGACAAAGTGTGCACACCCATTCTCCCCTGCAAAACAAGGAAACAAAACACTTATGTGGAATTTTGTTCAGAACCTTGTCAAAGAACAAATCTTCAATTCCTGTACTGAAAAGTCTCATCCTTAACTAATATTATGACAGCAGGTAATCTGAAGCCCATTGTACTAGATGTTCTTCAAGAGATTTGAATCCAACAAGAAGTGTAATAATTTCAGATTCTATTCATTGCACTTTTTCTGTCACAAAGGAAAAGAAAAAGGCAAACTTATGTCTGAAATCATGTACCAGTAGCATATGCAGCTGCAATGATTCAAATGCGGCTTTTAAAAAAATATTAAGGAAAAACAAGCAACAGTTGGGTCATAAGACAAACCCAGATCCACTTGATAATGGATGCATTTCTTATCAATTTATATATTTACCATATTGATATGTATATATTTATCATGTATTAATATTTTAAAATCAACATTATCAGTACATTAATATTACACAGATTCCCAAACCAAATAGACATAATTCTGCAAGGGCATGTGTGTCCTTCCCAGTAGATTAATTTTCAGAAGACTCTTGAAGACTTTCATGAAGGCAGTGAAACAACCTCTGCAACATCAGGGTCTGAATAACTATAGATTAAGATATATTAAAGAATTACAAATCTAGAACTTTTGCTAATGGCACTAATTTACTTCACTAGAGTTTAACTTTGCCTAGGAAGTTTATTTTAACAGGAAAGCTTGGTTTTCACATTGCTTTGAAACTAGAAGTTCAAGACTGAAAAGCCAAGAGTTGAAAATTCTTTTTTTTTTTACACAGAACCAACCAGAAATCTCCAAACTAAAATCTTACAATGTATTTTTCTCAGCTGAGACAGTTATTTGGGTTAGGCACAAATGAAGCATCCTTAAATCCCACTTAGTAATGACTTAGCACAGAATTCAGAATTGTACACCACCAATAATACACATTATTCAGCCTCACTTTTAAAGTTTGGCATGAGGATATGTATCTATTTCTGACTTGTTGCATACAATTCAGCTGTGACAAGTTGCTAGGGAATATCTTAGGGAAACCAATGTCCTAAACATTTCCACAAAGGATCTGATAATCCTAAGAAGAGCTGTTGTCTAGTAGACCCCAGATGTTACATGAGAGTTGGGATTTTGTTTTTCTCCAGTGAGTCATATGAAAACTTCTAAAGCTCAAGACTGCAACATGTGGCTGGAAACTGTTTTTGTTCATAATTCACCTAGCTCCTAGCGTATAGGACAATCCTTCCCTTTGCAAGAAAGTTATCAAAACAAGCAAGTGAGAGATTCAGCTAAAACATGCATCCCTGAGGATGTATTTGGCCCCAAAGCAGTGAGCAGGAGCAGCACATTAGTGAAATACATACTCACACTGGAAAGCTGAGCAGGGCTGGAACGTGGCAGGAGAGATGGAAGACCTTGGGGCAGCGATCACAGCACAACAGTTCTCCTCCATTGAGACACACAGCACAGAAATCCTCATTTTCAATTGGACTGACTTCCTGAGTAACTGGAGATTTTTTCATGATGGGGATGCCATTGCTGAGTTTCTGATCAACAGAGGGAGTATCTACAGGAGGAGATTGTGTCTGTCCTGCAGCCTGGGATATGAGGAATTTTCTGTCCTCTGAGCTCTCATCTTTGGACTTCAGTCCTTCAGGTGGACTATCTTTATTTATCTTGAAGGAAGAAAAATCTGGGATCACACAATCATAATTTTATACACCAGTGATTTGTATGCAGTGAACTCTACTGGAGAGGGGACTCGGGTTCA